AAAATAGATCGTTTACGATAGTGAAATCAAAACTATATGAAGCTGGAAAGAAAGACAAGAGAGGAATACGTTGAGCATCAACAAGAAGTGATGAGTAGCCAAGCATATTTATAGAGGAAAAGTTAACGTCGGGAAAATAACATCAAATCAGTTCATTATACGGGAACCAGTAAATTACTATTCAATTGTATCTAAAGCATACGCATCAAAATAGACGTTAAATTAAGAATACGAGGATCGCAGCATGAAACAAGCCTATACTAGGTAGTAGGTTACTACTGCTAATTGGTGAATATAACCGTAGTTAGATATACGTAGTTAATAGAAGCCCAGTGTGGATGGTGATAAGATGAGCCCGAAAGGAAAAGCGTTCAAGAAGTATTCATGCATAGATAAGAAGTACAACAAATTATGACTAAAAGTTAACTGGGTTGGCTTACCGACGTTTTGTATAGAACGGGAGCCCGTATAATAGTGTGAGAATCGCATTCTTTGACTAGTCCGGAATTGTTTAAGTTACCTGCATTTAGTGTGTCGATATTTGCAGGCGCTATAGGGGCAGATGGTTCAGCTGTTAGCATAGAACTATTTAGATCGGCATATCCAAAGCAATTCAAAATTGAGCTAATTCTGTCATTAGGAAGAAACAATCCGTTTTCCAGGTGAATGCCTTGTTCGCTAGTAATATTAGGTGAAGAATTATTTAGCATAGATAGGACTGCCGAAGAGGCAAGGCCAGGGATATGCAGTCCCTGCAAAGATTGCATTTGCTGGATACATGCAGGATTTAGCATGAGAGGTGAAACAACTGATGACAATGGAGTATGGTTAGAGAAGGCGGGTGAACTTAGATCTAGGGAGGAACCAAGAGTGGATAGCGCATTGCTCAGAAGATTTGTTCTTGCAGCAGGAATGGAGACATAGGAAGGATATCCGGGAAACATTTTGTCTCCTGGGGAAAAATCAAATCAGAAGCAAAATAAAATGGAAAGGGTGTTGATAAAAAAAGGCGACTAGACAGAAGCAGACGTAAAAAAACAAGGCAAAGTCGAGAAATACCTGCAGAGCATAGATACGAAGAGAGCCGCCCTTTATTTAAAAACAGAGATCCAAATAGTAAAATAATATATAAATAAGCAACAAACTTTTACATAAAATTATTTAGTTTTAAAAACTAAAAAATTGAATTTTATTTTATTTAAACGATATTTTATAAATACAATTGATTAAAATTTTTTACTTACTTCATAAGATTTGACGATTTTAATTCCTCATATCGGCGGCGTCTTAGTTGTGTCATTCTGATGCCGCTTGCTTGTACGAGGCTTGAGCATCTCCAAGTAACAAAGCTTCTTCATTCCGTAAGAGAGCGTAACCATCAACAAATTCGGAAACTAATCGAATATGGCATTGATAATTTAATAAACTTTGGTGAGCCGTCGGAAGGAATGACGCCCTTAATGCTATCTGCCATAGAAAATGATTTAGA